GGGCCAGCGGGGAGGGTGCAGGAGCCAGCTGAAGGTGTGGGGTCTGGGAGGAAAAGAGGGTTCAGGAGTGGGGTGGGGGTCTTGGCGGGAGGGAGGTGCATGAAGGGGTTGGGGGGCCAGAGTCTGGGCATGAGAGGGATGGGGGGCATTTACCTGGCTCCATGCCTCCAGCCACTCCCGAGCACTGCCCCCCACTGTCCCCTTCACTGGCCAGCCCACGTCTTCGAGAGGGGGTGAGCCCCAAGCCCATGGCCCACCTGCAAGGCAGTCCACAGACCACACTAACCACTGCCCAAGTCTATTGTGCAGTAGCGTTTAAGAGTCTGGGCATGAGAGGGATGGGGGGCATTTACCTGGCTCCATGCCTCCAGCCACTCCCGAGCACTGCCCCCCACTGTCCCCTTCACTGGCCAGCCCACGTCTTCGAGAGGGGGTGAGCCCCAAGCCCATGGCCCACCTGCAAGGCAGTCCACAGACCACACTAACCACTGCCCAAGTCTATTGTGCAGTAGCGTTTACACCCTAGAAAATCAGGGGCAGCCAGTTTACTTGCTCAAACAAAGCCTTCCCCGTGTAGCAGAACTTTGCTGAACCTCTGTCCTCCAACCCTGCACAGCCCCCTACTCACCTTATCGGGATCTGGATGGCCCCTGAGGGTGAGAACAATTTCCCTCTTGTTGCCTGCCCGCACTTTCCCCGTCATCCCTCCCTTCCCCGGACCCTGCTAGTGCCGACCTCTCCACCCCTCCTCTGCCCTCCTTTGTATTTGCCCTGTCGACCCTTCCCCACCCAGGCCTGGCCCTCCCAGGCTCTGGGTAACGTGCCAGGAGAGTGAGGACGGAGAGTGGCCAGTAATGTGAAAGGGACGTTTCTGCACTGCGGGAGGGGGGGGGGGGGGGGGTTGCTGGCTGGGGACTGTAATCTTCCAATATCTGTTTGACTGTCCCAGTGCCTATGACCAAACCAGACAAGTTGGACTCAAGTCCCCAAACCCAGGAAGCCCGATACAGTCACCGCCTCAACATTTCCCTAGGCCGGACAGGAGCTTCCTGAGCCCTCGGGGGCCCTCCCAACCCACTTCCAGCCGTGGATACCTCATGGAACACAGGTGAGTGAGCACAGCCGAGGCGAGGGGGTAAACAGCCACCAACCCATAGGTCTGCCCTCCCCAAAGCTCCCTTGATCCCCCTCCAGCTCCATATCTGAACCAAAGCCGTCTCTCTCCAGCAATCATAGAATCCCAGGGCTGGAAGAGACCTCAGGAGTCATCAAGTCCAGTCCCCTGCCCAAGGCAGGACCAACCCCAACTCAATCATCCCAGCCAGGGCTTTGTCAAGCCAGGACTTAGAAACCTGTAGGGATAGAGATTCCACCCCCTCCCTAGGGAACCCATCCCAGTGCTTCCCCACCCTCCTAGGCAAAAAGTTTTTCCTAATCTCCAACCTAGATCTCTCCCACTAACTTGAGACCATTGCTCCTTGTTCTGTCATCCGTCACTACTGAGAACAGCCTCTCTCCAGCCTCTTTGGAACCTCCCTCCAGGTAGTTGAAGGCCGCTCTCAAATCCCCCCTCACTCTTCTCTTCTGCAGACTAAATAAACCCAAATCCCTCAGCCTCTTCTTGTCGGTCATGTATTCCAGTCCCCTCATCATTTTGGTTGCCCTCCGCGGGACCCTCTCCAATGCGTCCACGTCCTTTCCGTAACAGGGGCCCCAGAACTGACACAATACTCCAGATGTGGCCTCACCAGAGCTGACTAAAGGGGAACAATCCCTTCCCTACATCTTCCCTCTTGTTACCAGCCTGGGTCCCGAGCTGCTCTGAAGCCCTTTCGTCTCTATTGCTGCAGATCAGGGCAGGGAACCATTTTTGGGTCGGGGGCCACTGACCTCCAGACAGATCAGTCAGGGGCCGCACACAAGTGAGAAGCCGAAAAAAAGAAAAAAAAAAAGAAAAGACAAACCCTCACTGAGGTGGCCCCTGACTGAGAAGCAGAAAGACCCTCCCCCCATTCCCCTGGCACACCAGAGCTTGGGGGGGCCCAGGCTAGTAGATTTTGTGTGCTCCAGTCCCACAGTACGTGTGGGCTCCCCAGTGCTGGGGGGGGGGGAGCTTTGTGGGTCGGATCCAGGCAAGCTGGGGGCCGCATCTGGCCCCTGGGCCTGAGGTTCCCCACCCTTGCTGTAGATATTACATGGCCTATGACCATGCAACAGCCCTGGGCATATCCTGCAAGTCTCCCTCTTCCTTGCTAGGGATGTGTGTGTGTGTGTGTGTGTGTGTGTGTGTGTGTGTGTGTGTGTGTGTCTATTTAT